AAGCAATCTCTCTCTCGACTTATGCTCGCTTGAGAGCTTAGCTCTGTTTGGCACATCCGCTTTCATTTCACAGTCTCTTGCTGTCATTGTCATTCTCTGACATTCGTCATCACTTGAATTCGTTGCTCGCCTTTTGGTCTCTTCGCACATCAGCATTAAATCAAATGAGCCGTGGCCAAAAGAGCAACAGCCACAGCAAGAGCGACAACAGCAACAGCAACAGCAACAACAACAACGAATGTTGATGACGACGACCCAGTTTCGCCTGGCAAATTAATAACCTTTCACCTGAGTTTTAATTTAAATGCCCGCCCCTCAACTTAGCCGCCTAACCGTAAAATTGTCCACTGCCCAGCATTGACTCCAGCTCTCCGAGCCCACCCTGACAGCAGAGCTGAGCTGAGCTGGGCTGCACCGAGTGGAACCTTCGTCAAGCGTTTCGCTCGCTTTTCGGCTGACATTTCAAATTTTGCAAATGTCAAAAATGTCGTTCCGTTGATGCCCCTCATTTGTCTTGAAATTCGCCATAGCCCGAGTCGCACATTTTAACACTTTTCACTTAGACCCTGGCAACAACTCCCAGTGGCCGCCGGCCAAATATTAAAATGCGCTCTGCCTGCTGCCTGCATCTGAGCAAACGATGTGCCGACTTGAAGCCGTCTCGCAGTCATCTGCGACTCCTGATGACCGATGCCACAGCACGGGAGTTGCACATGGAGCTCACTTTCTTGCCATTGCTAAATAATTTCACAGTCTATCAATTAGCGGCCAGAGCGCGTCAGCAGTTAGCGACAGTGGAGTCGAAAGGGCGAAGAGTGAAGAACTGCTGGTAAAAGTGAGCGCAAGGCATGTAAAATGATTTTTAAATGAAATTTCTGTCAAATAAGTAATATAATACTTTTCATGTAGTGAAAGAGCTTGTAAATAAAAAATGTGGTATATGTAATCTTTAATTTATTTAAGTAATGTGTTAAGATTCCCTGATCAAGTTAAATATAATACAACCCAGGAAAAACCATTTATAAACAATTTAAGACATTATTTACTTACTAGGTAAACTACAGTGGAGAACGCCTCCATGATTAAAGGAGAAGGAAAATATGTTGCTCTCTATCTAAGAATATGTTTAAGATGCAGTAGAATCCGACCGAACGTCATTATAACCGGATAGCTATATTAGTTTTCACATATAAGTTTGTCTGGGGACCAGCATATCGTGGCATTAACCGTACGGACGTTCCGTAAACGGAATCGTTATAATCGGATTCTGTTCTATTGATAAACTAAATTTTAACATCAATGACATTAAATATATCCTGATTTTCCATTTTCAAATGCTTCAGACTATAACAAGTGAATAGTAGAACATGTTACCTGACTGAGTGAACTATCACAAAACAGGAAAACCTGTTGATAACAATCTACATTTTTTAATCAACAATTAATTTAATAGATTAGCTGAAAGCTGTGTTGCCCACTGTGCAGGCTAGTAGGCAATTTTTCATGCTCATACGGCAGCATTAGTATCAGCGACAACAACAACAGCAACAAGCTGAATCTGGCTAAAGACATTCGACTGACTGTAGAAAAACGTGAAGAGACTGAAGACTGAAGACTGAAGACTGAAGACAGGCTCTTATGACCTTAGGGGCTGGCAAAAGGTGGTCTCGCTGATTGTTTACGTCTGCGCTACTCATAAAATTTCAATTAATCTGGGTGTCACTGTGCAAGGGAAGCAGCAACAACAATAGTACACTTGGAGAAACCCAAGGGAATAAAACTGACAACATAGTCTTAGTCTGGGATTGAAAGAGCCAAGAAGAATGCTGCCAGCATAATTTCAGAATATTGTAGAACCTCTTCTGCAATATTTTGTAGTACATACGTTTTTTCTCTCCGTGTACAGCTGTGTGTAGCCTATGCTAAATGACAGCGCCTGCGTATTTAATGAAATGCGCAGATCCAACGACATCAGGTTGGCTCTGTATTAATAACGACTTTTCAGACTTTTGAGATTTGTCTCTGTTGCTCTTAACGTGAAACACCCGATACGAATCTACAGAGAAAACTCTCAGGCAGCTTCAAGCTCTCGATAGTTGCGCACAAATTAATCTTCTTCAAATTAGCATCTTGATTAGCCAATGAAATGTGTAACCCCATACCCCCATACCCCCATGCCCGAATGGCTGCAGGGTAAGTCAACGCACACACACTCACTCACACGCACATCAAATCAACTGATGATCATTGATCATTTTTGTTGTTGCTCTCTCTCTCTCTCTCTCTGTCTTACTCTCTTCTGTTCTCTTTCTCTTACTTGCCTTGCTGCTGTTGATGTGATTACAATAATTAATCTTGCTCGAGATTATGTTTTTTTTTTTTTTTTTGTTTATTTGTTTTATTTTGTATTTCTCCCAGCAGCAACTGTTGCCGATGTGTAGATCATTATACGTTTGGGTTCGCTTTCTGAGGTTTTGCTCGGGCTTAGCTGCTGTTTGTTTGTTGATTTCTTTCTGTTCTCTTTTATTTTCGAAGGCGCCTGGCGTCAAATTAAGTGTTTGTGTCGCTTGCCATTAATCAAAACATATCACAAATTTCGATATGAAAAAGTGTTTTGTATTAAAGCCACAACTAACTACAACTTGTTCCATGTCGTGTTCGTTTCATCTGGGTGTGTGTTCAGTTGCTTATACACATGTGTAAATCTACACTGTCTCGAAGGGTACTTCAATTGGGCCATGATATGTGTAACAGCAGATATATATATGTAGTGAAATAAATGTGATATTTTTGATATAAATCTTTACATGAATTCATTAAGCTGTTGTATAACTATATTGAATAAATTCTATATATAACATTGATCAAGGAATACTTGAATGACAATTGGATCTGTATATTGAAATAATTGGGCTAAAAGCTGATATAATGAGATCCTGAAGACTCTTGAGAATACTCCAGCTTTGCTTGTCCATTACGATATCAATACTTTCCATCACATATAGCTCTTAAAAATAAGTAAAATATAAATATTAAAACGCTTTTATATGATTTCAAGATATAATATCATCTACAGCTATTTAACTTTGAGTACCTAAAAACTCTTTTGCTCTCATCAGAAGCAACTCCCGCACAAAAGTTCTTCTTCTTCAGTGCAGCTAAAAGGGTATCAGAACTTCGGTGTTTCACTAAAAGTTGTTCTTTCTTGTTTACATTTATTTGATGCCTTTTCCTGGTCTGAAAATGTCACCTGCTGTGCCAAACACCACACACATGTTGTGGCGGTTGTGGATGCTGTTTGCTGCTGTTGTTGTTGCAGTTGTTGCTGTTGTTGCATTTGTTGCAGTTGCGCGCTTCCTGGCGCTGGTTGCTGCTGCTGCTGCTGCTGCTGCTGCTGCTGCTGCTGCACTCACCTTGGCTGTTGTTGTTGGTCTGGTCTGGCTTTTTGATGAATGATGAACAGGGTCTGAGAGCCAGTTGTCTGTTGCCTTCATTTGAATTTATTTTCAGTTAACATGCAGCTGTCCATCTTCGACTATCTCTATGGCTATTCGGTAGCCGATGCGAGAAAGTGGCATTAATCAATTTGGTATTTTTCGGGTTGCAGCAAACGAAACGCATTGCAAATCAGCGGGAAAATTTATTAACTGCCTAATTGTAAGCAAATTTGACAGGCGGCTGGCCATAAACCTGACTGCGATGGTGCCACACAAAAACTGTTTTACATGTGCGGCAACTTGTTTGCCGGCTTATCGGGCTAAAAATATCGTTGCTGCAACGGCAACAACAATGTCAGCATATTCAGCAATCAAGTGACAGCAGCTAAAGCCAATTATCTATAATAAAATACAGCAACAACAACGACAACAGCAGCAACAACTATGCAACCCGTTTGCGACCAGTTGCTGTTTTCAACACTTTGCAACCAAAATGTGACACCTGCAATTGTTGCTGCTGCCGTTGTTGTTGTTGTGGTTGTTGTTGCTGCTGCTGCAGTTAAAGCCAAATTAAAATTCACTTGCTCAGTTCAACACCTTGGTCAATTTAAGCTCATGACACGCGTGTGTGTCTGCCTGTGGGAAAATAATTGCCTTAGTTGTTGATTTCCAGATATTTCAAATATTTCAATATGAAATATGCAGAAATTAAATCTCAAATGATACAAATAGTCGCAAAGTGTGTTAAACAAGCAGTTTGACATTCGTTTAATTTAAATTTAATTCATTAAAAACCTATTACACTGTAATAGAAGCCTCGTTAGAGTTTTTGAACTGTCAGAGAGCTAATATAATTATTTAATTTTAACTGAGTATATAGAGTACATAGAATTTTTTATAATATTCTCAATTGATAATTCCAATCAATTGATAATTCTCAGAGCAACAGCCAGATAAAAAATCCAGTTCTCGCCAGGGATAATGCAAATATGATATTATTTGTAATTTATTTTTTGATTTTGTTATTTTTTTTTTACCCCTAGTTTTTGTCTCAAGTATATAAACCAGAAATCTGTACGAAAAATACATTTCACTATTTTCGAGCGAGGCGCTCTCTGGCGGCTATAAAAGTAACTATGTAACTAAGACATAAACCTAAGCAAAGAACACAACCCACGTAGAGTAAGACAAATATATTCGCTCTCTCACTTAACAAACTGCGCAAAAGAGACAAAACGAGTAATTACATTGAGCGAAATTTCAGTTATAGTTGCCGGTAGAAATACCAGAAAAAACTTGTTTGTCGTATTAAAAATTTAATTTATTATGAGATTAGAGTAATAAAATAAAATAATGCGTTAACATTTCAAAGTTATTTTTGTTATTTAAAATATGACTATTTATTTACACATAGTTACATATAACAAATTTAAGGCGTTTATTTCTTTAGTAAATACATATATAAATTTTACACTTAGAATTCGAATAAAAATAGATATGAATAAATTTCACATTTTTTTATATGTTAAAAAATATATATGAAAAAAAAAAAAACCAACGCCACATTTTATGAAAAGCCTAATGATAAAAATGTCAAGTGAAGCTAAAGTTAAAAACTTACAGACTACCAATTACGAATATAAATAATGCTAGATATATAATCAGGTTCTTCTTTTTCTTCTTCTTCTTTTTTAAGGAGTTTTAGCTTAAGTATAAAATATGAAGTTAGGCAAATTTGGATGACTTCGACGCAAATCCAAAACGGATCTAAAAAACTTACTTAGCTCAAATTATGGAAAACTTGTTTTTGTTGTTCGTTTGTTTGGAATGTTATTTTATAAAAAAATTATTTGTTCTTTAACTAAATATAAATGAAAAAGGCTTACAAATTACCAAAAACAATTTCAATATTCTAGCTAAATTCATTTTGTATACGTGAAGCTTAATTTCGAAATTTTTGGATTTTGGGTTTTTTTTTTTTTTTTTTTTTTTTTGGTGCAGCTTAGCCTAAGAGTCACTTAGATTAGAAAGAGGCGAGAAGACAGTCGAGATGGGAGAGTTGAAGAATTGAAGAAGGGAAGTAAGGAAGAGAAGTTTTGGATAGAGTAGAAAGTAGTAGTAGTAGTAGTAGTAGTAGTAGTAGTAGTAGTAGAAGTAGTAGTAGCTGAGTGGGATGATGCTTAGACCTGTAATCGAAAACCGTTTAGTAAGCCAATGTGTAAGAGCCTAAACTTATAAGCCAAGCATTCAAAATGTAGTTCTACTTTTTGGCAACTGCCTTGCCCTTGCCCTTGCCCACCTGTGCCGGCGCTTGGGGCGCACCGCCGCCGCCGCCACCGCCTTCCTGCGAACCGCTCTCTGCGTCCGAGTCCTTCAGAGAGCCGCCCTCCTCGTCGCCAACGAGCGCGCGATACTTTTTCGCAATCGCCTCCCAATCGGCGACATTCTCGATGCGATTCTGATTGGCAGCCGAGAAGCTGGCCTGTGAGCCCAAGGGGGACAAATGCACCTGGGACAAGGCCACGGAGTCTGAGAATTAAATAAATACAAGTTATCTATGTTTCTCCAAAAAAAGGAGAGAGAGAGAGAGAGAGAAAGGGAGAGTAAAGTTGGAAGTTGAGAAAGAAATTTTGAGCTAGAGCGCGCCAATTGTAGAAAGAGTAAAGTTGAGATAGATAAAACACAGTTATAGATATTTAAAGAGAGAGAGAGAGAGATAGATAGAAACCGAGTGAGTTGACGGACAAACGCTTGTTGCTACAAAACTCTTGCACTTTTACCAACGTTGAGCGTAGAGAGAGGTTCGCTCTCTTTTGTATGTCACGAAGGGGGAAAAGGGGGTCACTCACTCGTAAGGTAACGATACATACATTGCTCACCTTTCTTGATCTTCGATAGCCACTTGGCGCCGGCTTTGGTTCGTGGACTGGCCTGCCGTATGCCCATCATCTGTACCAGACTTGGACGCTTCTTTTTCTTCATGCGTGCCTGTGGCGTGAGTGGGCGTTTGATTGGGTCAAGGCGCATTTGAGAGGGGAAGAGACGCGGGACATGACAATCAAACAGAACATACAGAGACAAGAGACACAACAACACACATTGATTAAACATTAAAAGCAGCCAGAGCCAAAGGAACGAAAGAATGAAAAACAATATTGATAAAAGTGTGACCAAGTGCGCGGAATACGATTAACACAGGGTGGTGCAGCTACATACAGGGTGCACTTGTTACAGGCAACACACTTAAAGCATTTGTAGACACACAGTCGTTGACACATTTGTTTCATATGTAAACCAAAATTTGCAGTTGTTGCCAAATTGCTTTAAATGGTTTTGCGGAAAAGGTCAGCAACTACGCGAGTTCTGATCGATGGACACGGTCTGATTAAGTGTCTTATAGAGTTCGTTTTTATCAGTTTGTAGTTTAGTTTAGTTGTTTTCATTTTTCTTATCTCGAACATTTGATATTTTACCTTGACCTTCTCGACGATCCATATAAACCAGGTGGTAACTAAATTAAGCGGCGATGGCGCTGTTGTGGTGCGATGCATATTGCGTATAAGCTTGGATAGGCCAAATTTCCATTCGATGTCGGATTGTGCCTAGTATTTCATAGGTTTTTCGCATTGAATGATCATTATGATGTTGATGAGACATGATTCAAATATAAATACATAAAATAGAACAAGAACACGATTTAACACAAATGAGTTTCATGACTTTGTTCAAGCATTCACAATTTCAATTCTAATACATATTCATTAATATTTATCTTAAGCGCTGCAACTGAGAAATTTCAATAAAAAAAATATACAAATGTAGACGTTGATTTTGCTTATCAATTTCCACCAGCAGAGTACCTCTTCATATCGCCCCATTCAGGTATCTGATCGATACTGTTTGAGAAATTGGTACGCAAAATCTGACGCATTTATTGGTATATTTTGGAGATACATATATTTAGAGACTTAAACATGGACATAGACATAGACACAGAAACATGCAGCAGTTATTGGTTGTAAAGCATGCAGTTGCCAACACTGGCCGCGCGTATTGCTCAACACTAGTCACAAGAAGCTACTTTCGCTAGGCGCTTAACTAAGTCTAAAGCTATAAAACACAGACTAAATTTTTATTGCTTGGGTTTTTTTAGCACATTCTAATTGTAATCTAATCTATAAGCCAGGGTGTTTTATCTGTGCGACACAATTTGTTCTTTCGAATGGAGATTGTATCCCACAGATAGCTATTAATTTTGTATCTCGAAAAAACCTGGAAGATGCAAGTCTGGGCAGTTGATGGATCTACAAAAGTTGCCACAGTTAATGCTAAAAATATTTAGGAATATATTTTGTTTTACTGTTATCTCATAATATGTTGTAAATGTAGATTTGTATTTGCTAAAAACTGGCTTTGGTATAGGCAGGAGTAACGATGTGAAGTACTGTAAGTTTCTGGGACCGTTGCTTGTAGTATGTATATCGCATAGATATAACTGGGGATTTTAAAGGGTTTTGGTTTAGTATCCTTTGTTTTGTTTAGATTTTATCCATTCGCTTTTTTTTTACTCTCTAAACTTCTTTTCTATTTAAAGAATTTGACTTTTCCCTTTTCAAGCATGTAAAACTGTTTATTTCTTATGGGCTTGTTTCTCGCTCCTCTCTTTATTTCTCACATCGTTTCTTTCCTGAACTGATTTCAGATTTTCCTTAGCTCTTGCCCCCTCTACGCTACTATCTTATAGCTGATGGATTTTTACCTATCAAACTTCTTCTTGCTTCACACTATACATCACCATATTAATTTCTGTCCACCATAGACGTGTCTAATTAAATATAATAATAGTAATTTTTATAAACTAAATGCTCTCGATGTAGCTGAAAAAGACTTGAAAATTAGTTAAATATCATCAAATACATAGCTTAAATTTTATATTAATATATTTTTAATATTATGTTAAGTAGCATAAGAAAATAGCATTAAAGAATAAAGGAGATTTTTGTTTGTTTTTTTGTTATTAAGCGCCATTAGCAATACTACCTGAATTCTTTGATAGGTGTCTGACATCATAGCAATCAGCAGGTTAATGAGTACAACCACCGATACCAACATGTATATGCCAAAGACAATTTTGAACAGATACTCAACCCAATACGGTTGAGTGGGCGTGGCTAAATTTTTGATTTTATCAACTTGCGTTTGCTCCGTCGTCGTCTGGCCAAACACGGCGAAGAACAGTAACTCGAACGAGTTAATCGGATGCATGCGCACTGTGTCGTGTCGTATATTTCCGTATTCGTATTTCCGTATTCGTATTCCGAATTCCGATTTTATTTCACATTCCATGTTTCACATTTAACAGATACCAACCCGACAGCCCCAACGCAGCCCATACCAAACCAAACCCATTAAATATCAATTTCCGAATCACATTCCACCCCCATTTTGATATGTCCACGGACACCACACAGCGTTGACATTAGTTTTGAAAAATAAAAAGATAACGGACGCCCATTGGAGATTGTGGTTGGTCAATTGGCCAAATCGTGTTTCGATTCGATTTGGCCCCATCGAACAACCCCCAACAACAGCAACAGGAAACGAGCGCCAATTGCGGTTAACGGGGTTGTTCACACAGCATTTAAATGAAAATAATATCAAATTTACATACGTATATAATATATATATTGTAATTGAAATCATAAGTATTGATAAGAGGGAAGAGAGAGAGAGAGAAAAAAAGGGGGAAGAGAGAGTGTTTGCGATTAGTGAAGATTGTCAATACAAACCTGTATGCGTTGATAAGTATCCGACATCATGGCAATTAGCAGGTTAATGAGTACAACCACAGACACTAACAAATAGATGCCAAAGACAAATTTGAACAGCACCTCGGTCCACTCGGGACGCAGATGTCGCATGGGATTGATGTCCACGGTGGTCGTTTGTCCGAACACAGCGAAGAACAGACGCTCGAAAGCCAGAAATGGTGTCATGGGTCCTAACAACGTCCAAAGAATTTTTGGTTTGTCTTTCTTTCCATATGCTTATATAGATCTTTTAACATAGTACACAACACGAGCTAACTGTGAGGCGGAATTTGTGGGCGTATGCTGCATATTGTTTGATTGATTGATTGATTGAGATTGACATTGATATTGGCACAGGCGTGTGTGCAAGAATTCTTACGAATTTTCATATTTTTTTTATTTGTGGCTAAAAGCAGCAAAACAACAACAGCAACACGTCAGGCATTCGATTGTTTCGAGTAACTAATTATCGGTTCAACACACATACGACAGCATCGATAAGTATCGATATTTCGTGTGGGGATTTTCTTCATATGATTCGTTTCGCCGTTTTGTGCACGATTAATTTGGTTTAAGTTGTTGTTTTTTTTTTCGTGTTTGCCAAGCGGCAGCAGCACAAGCTTTAAGCCCAGAAAATATCTTGATTGAATATTCAACATCGATTTAAATAGAGTATATATATTTTGTGTTCAATTTGGCGACTTTTGCAAAACATCAACATGCAATATTGAATTATTTTGTTTACTTTGATTTATATTGTACACGTTGCGCAAATGTGGAAAATGCATTGAAAAAAAAATTATAAAAATTAAAAAAAAAAAAAAAAGATATATATAGCAGTAAAAATAAGTTGAAATTTAAAAACAAACTTAATTATAACTTGAAATTTAATTCTATGACTCTGAAATAGATCCAACTGCAACTCATATATCTTCTACAACGGCTAAGAGAATCATTTGTAATATCATCAATCACATCTCTTGAATTCTCATTGTAAATCTTAAGTTATTTTTATTAGAAATTAATTTTTTAATAAATCTTCTGAATTTTGTTTTTTTTTTAACAGTTTTAATAAAATGTCTTAAACGCAAAAAATTATTGTTACAATATTTATTAAATTTATTGACAACCTTTATGAAGCTTAGAGAGATCCCTTATATCACCTAATATTTACTTAAATTAACAATTTAAAGGAAAAGCTTTCCCAAACAATTATTGAAACTACAAAAAAATATGAGACTTCTTAACTTAAATTAAAAAGGAATCAAAAAGAATATGCATGCTTTAAAAATCTATTTGTAAATAAAGCAACTGAAGCATTTACAATTACACAAGATAGACAAAACAAAATATTGTTGATAATATAATAATGTAGCAGATGATACCTATAAAACATTGATTGCTCCACAACATCGAGAATGCACAAGGTACATATATAAATATATTATATATATACATATATATATGTTGAACGGAATCCGTTGACCATGACGAACGAAAACATGCCTCAAAACGAAAGGAACTTAAAGAGAGCAAGAACAAGGCTAACATCGGGTATATAAGTATTATGTGTGGGAATTTGCAGCGATTGCTTTTTCCATTACAACTGGAAAATAAGATAAATATGACAATAAAAAACTTTTACACACAACATTGAAGGCAAGAGGAACTGCGGACGGCTGGCCCAAAATAATGCTAGGACCGCCGACCTGCGAATAAGTTGAGTGAACGAGTATATAATAAGTTATATATGAGACAGATAGAGCCCACATATGGTATGGATATGTGGATATGAGGGGCCCATGCAAGTAGAGACTGAAGGGAACTTACGATCATCTTTGTGTTTGCGTCGGAATTCGCTGAAGCGACTATCGACATAACTCTCCACGGGCGGAGGGCGTGGAGTGGGCATATCATCTGACATTATACAGCGTGGCAAACAGAGAAAGACATTAATTAGTTGTGATTGTGGGAAGTTAGGCTGCGGTTTCGATATAGCACAAAGGGGTCGGGGCGGGGTGGGTGGTTGGGTATATTTTTTAGAACACATGACGACATGAAAGAGGATTGGTTCAGTTTGGTTTGTTGTACAGCATGCAAATAGTTGTTGTATTTTGTGGTTGTAGTTGTATTTCATAGGTGAACATTGAGCACACAGTTTCATTCAAAGGCAGGTACAGATACTTATCAAGACACATTGAACTTTAATAATAATAATAATAATTCAGGAAAAACCAAAAAGGATGTTGCGAAAACATTCCAAACTCAAAATATAAACTGAAAAAAGTTTCTTTTCTTTTTTTTTTTTTTTTAATAATTCGAAATATAAGCAAAAAGCCAACGTTTGGACTTACCGTCACTGAAGTAGCCCCGATTTCGATTCTTCTTCTCGAAACTGCGCAGATCCTCGGGCGTAAAATTGGCAAATGATTGATTCAGCGCCACGATATGCATGGAAAAGCCAAACACAAAGATAGCGAGCACGGCGAGAAATCTCGCTAGATCCTTAAGCAGATCGCCAATAATAATGGCCCACGGCCCGAATAAATGATGGAAGGATAGAAAGTCCAGGATCTGTACGCAGGCCAAGAGAAAGGCCAAGGCGAAGCATTGATTGCGGCAATAGACCAATGTCGGCCAATACTCCTTGGAGACGAACAGGAAGGCGACAACGTGTACGCCCACGCCGGCCATGCCCAGCAGCAGGACGAGCACCTTGATTGATCCCAATCCCGATTTGTCCGAGGGATTCGTCAACTCGAACAAAAGTAAACCGCTCAACCAAATGAGCAAGCCTATTTCGTACCAGTAGGGGACCAGACTCAGACGCAGCACCGGATAGATGGGCGTTATGCCCACAATGCTCAGGTGTGTCATGAGGTATATGTGCGAGGTGAGGTAGGACATGAACTTGATGATCGGCACCTTGTTGAACTTGTGCCCCATCGGGAATGTGAAGCCAATCCATACAGGCGGGCAAACGATAAACGCAACCAGCAGCAACATTATCTTCCACGACGCCCATGTCAATGAGCCGTGCCACAGTTCCTAGAGCAGGAGTCAGAAGTCAGTTCTAGATTTAATCTGTCCCAAGGGACTCGAATTAGATTGATGAACACACTTGCAAATATCGCTGGACCACCGTATGAGCAATGACTTCCTTTTGCTCGTTCTCGATCAGCACGTCGAGAAACTCAATGTTCCGCTTGTCCGTGGCCTGCAGGATCTTCCCCGCGGAATCCGAGCCGGCTGCCAAAGCTAGGAGTTCCGTGGCCATAGCCTCGCACTGTTTGCCAGCTGCCACCAGATCCTTGGCGCGCTCCTTCTCCTGCAGTGGCACAAAATGTAAGAGATTAGATGGGATCTCTTAGGATAGTTACCCCTTGCAACGCACCTTAGTCGAGAGTGTTATGTAAATGTTGGATAGTTTGGCTGCCGTATCCACGGGCGCTGGTGAGACCAGCACAAACTCTTGTATTGGCTTGTTGTTGTTGTTCTTGGACACGACCATCAGATTGTAGACAAACCGTTTGTCCTCCATCAGACCGTAGGTGTCGTGTTCCTTGTTCATCAGATAGCGCAACACCTCGTTGTGACCCTCGGATGCGGCAAACCAAATAGCCGCACAGCCATAGTTCGTCTCGGACTTGGGCGAGGCGCCCGCCTCGCACAGCAGCTTCACCACATCCAAGTGGCCGGCTTTGGCAGCACAATGCAGTGGCGTCCAACCGTTGCGATCGGTTGCATTTATCTCAGCGCCCTGGCCGAGCAGGATCTCCACCATCTGGAAATGGCCGTGCATGGCAGCGATATGCAGACCAGTGCGTCCATTGCGATCCGTGGATTGCAGGAGCTCCGCCGACCGACTCAGAAGCAAACCAACCACTGACATGTGTCCACCGAAGCAAGCCAAATGGAGCGGATTGTAGCCCTAAAGAAGATAGTTGGATTAGTAAACGGAATGACTGGGGTAGTAAGGGATATAGCAGAACAATTGAGTTAGCTCTTGTTGGTCTAGACTAGGAATAATGTTATTTCAATCAAGTTCATTCAGGCTTACGTTCTCCACGGTAGCGGCATCCACTTGTACGCCCGCCGAGTTCAGCAGCAATCGCACCACATTCTCATTGCCCGAAAAGGCAGCCAGGTGCAGTGGCGTCATGCCCGACTCTGTGCCCAGTTCCCCGAAGAGGCTCTGGCCCGTGGGTGTCTCCGACTTGACCGTAGCCGGCACGCTGGTCAGCAGCTCTCGGACAGTGTCCGCCTGGCCGTAGTAGGCGGCGACGTGCAGGGGCGTTAGGCCCAGTTTTTTGCTGTTGATGCGCAGCGAGTTGGTGCTCTTCAGCACGTCCAGGACTTGGCCATGCCCGTTCTGGGCGGCCAAGTGGACGGCCGTGAAGCCGGCCTTGTTTTCCTCGGTGCAGGAGGCGCCGGCGCGCACCAAAGCTTTCACCACATCCGCGTGTCCGCCCTCGGCGGCCAGTTGTAGAGGCGTGGCATCGGTCAATTTATTTCTAGCTGATATCACGCCGGACCGATCGAACTTCATGAGCTCCTCGATCACCTTGACGGAGCCCTGCATGGCAGCAATGTGGGCACAAGTGTTGCCATCCTTGCTGGTGGCATTCACCAGAGAGGGATGCTGCTGCAGGAACAGTTTGGCCACTTCAGAGTAGTTGTTCTGGGCGGCGACATGAATGGGCTTCTGGCCCAGATCATCAGTCGCATCGATGTTGGCGCCCAGCTCCAGCAGCAGCTGGCACACCTCCATTTGTCCGCTGGCCGCCGCCAAGTGCAGCGGCGTCTGTTTGCGCAGCGTCAATATGTCAATCACCGCATTGTGATCCTTGATGAGGAACTTCACCAGATGCGTAAATCCGTTCATCGCCGCCAAATGCAGGGCGGTGCGTCCCACGCGCGACTTGGAGTTGATGAAGGCCTTGTTCGTTAGCAGCGCATCGCACACGTGCAGATAGCCCCGTTCCGCGGCCAGATGGAGCGCCGATCGACCCTCCGTGTCGAAGACATCGACCCTCGCATGATTCGCTAAAAGGTTATTGACCAGCTCCATGTGCCCCCGATGGCAGGCAATCAGGAGCGGCGTCCAGCCGATCGACGACTGCCGATTCATGGCCTTCTGTATGTCCGTGGGATTCATGTGCGAGATCATCTCCATCAGCACATCATTGTTGCCCGCGACGGCGCAATAGTGAAAGGCCGTCTCCAGCGCGGTCTTCGTCTGCAGCGTCACATCGGCCCCGTTCTCGAGCAGCATGCGCACGATTTGCTTATCGGATTCGGGTATTTTCACCTCCTCCTTGGTAATTTGGCAAGTATAATGGAGCGCCGTGGCGCCATCATCGTTCACAGAATTGATGTACGTGGTGGCCTTGTCCGGGCCGTGTTTCTCCTTCACTGTCTCAATGAGGTGACGCACGATTTCCGGATGACACGACCGACATGCCATATGCAAAGGTGTTTCCCCAGTCTGGAAAGGGAAAGGAAAACAGTGATTGAGTGGTTGTGAATGGATCTACTGCCATTAGCTCTACACACATTCGATTTGTATAGCGGATCGCCTCCATCTTCCAGCAGCTGCATCATTGTCGCCAGATTTCCATGGCGCGCGGCCACATGGACCGGCGTCAAGCAGTCATCGGTCGTTAGATTCGGACTCGCTCCGGACTTAAGCAGCATCAGAGCGCAACGATCGCCGTCCTTGACTCGCGCAGCAATATGCAGCGGGGTCTCCCGCAGCTTACCCCCACGCACATGCACATCGGCGCCAAAGCCGAGCAGGGTTTCCACAACAGCTGGCTTGGCGGACTCCACGGCTATATGCAGTGCCGTATAGTTGTCCTGGAAGGGATAGAGGAGAATATTAAAGCGGGTTTCCTTTGATATCAATGAGAAAGGAAATGGGGTAATTCACTAGACTTATACGGAAGAGTAGGAATTAAACGGGGTAATGCGCTAGACTTTGACTTCAGGAATGGGGTAATTCTCTAGAATCAACTTAGGGAAGATAGAAATACACTGTATGTGCTAGACTAGATTTTGACTTGGAGGAGTAGTCCTCTGTCTGTCTACTCACGTTGGTTGTAACATCTACTTTCTCGCCTTTCTGCAGGAGGGTATTGATGATGCCAGTGTGACCGTAGGCAGCGGCCGTGTGTATGCTGCGGGCGCCATCCTTGTTGGGCATGTGCAGATAGACGCCCTTCTTGAAGAGCATCGTGGCGCACTCAGCATGGCCATTGAGTGATGCGATGTGCATCAGTGTGCTGCCATCCTTGGTGCGCTCGAAGATGCTCGCCTTGAATTTGTCCGCCAGGATCTCAATGACGTGTGCGTGTCCATTCTCGGCGGCCAAATGCATGGGTGTGCGGTCTGCGTGAAGGGCGAGGAAGAGGAAACAAGTTTAAAAAATAATTGACGAATTGGCTTTTACGTGCTGTTGACTCACCTTGATTGTCCGCAATGGAGGCGGATGCACGCACCCCGTAAAAGTACTTGAGTAACGCCTCGTCCCCCTCCGCGGCGGCAATGTGCAGCGGCGTCTGCCCCTCCCCGTTCTGGGTGTCCACATTGGTGCCGTAATCCACCAGAATGCGGACCATGTCGACGTCCCGCCGTCTGGCGGCCAAATGCAAGGCCGTGTCTCCATTGGCCGTCGTTGCCTAAAATCGAAAAGAAAAATCCACTTCAGGCTCAAGAAATTGCAACTCCGAATCGGGCAGCGGCGATTGCCATCGCCTTTTGGTTTATTTTTGAATATGCAAATCGAGTTAGGCCCGTAACAAGGTTAACTCCTTGGACTACACACACACACTCGCACACACACACACACTATTAGCTGGCCTGTTCGATGTGTTTTAACTGCGTTTTCGCAACACTTCTGACCCACTTTGTTAGCCGGCTGATTGCGTGCCAAGCGCTTTTGGCCCAAAGTCAACTAACTCGAACTTTAACTTTAACCCCTTTTTTGGTTAATTTCATCAACACGCACTGCTCTTGACTCTACACCTGTATCAGGCTCTGTGTATGTGTGTGTCTGCCGTGCAAATTGAAAACAGCACTAAAAACTTTGCGCCAATGTCACATTTTGCACTGTTGCATTCTCCCTTTTTGCCCCTCCCTGTTTTCGCATTGCGTGCGCTGTTGCCGCACTTCACTTGTGCGTAGCGTTGCCATATCGCCTAGGCATTTGCATTTCACTTATAACTTGGTCAAGTTTTGACAGTTGAGACTTGTTTGATTTCTGCAGTTTGATAATATTCTTGATTTGTGACCCTGCAGAGGGTATTTGCATACAATCTAAAAAAAAAGTCTTGCTAGTTGATTAGCAAATCTCTTTCACGCATCGCAAAATTTGAATTTATGCATATTGCATGTGTCTAAAATTTGAAATGTGGGTTAGGCACTTAATGTGCATACAATGTCATGAATGATAATATTATCAAAAGTTGAAATGATTTGTTAGCTTGGCAAAGTTAAATGAAGTATACCATAAGTTTAAATTTGATTAAAGCATTCGATTGACTCAAGTGTAGCCTTTCAATGTAGACCTATTTCTCTCTTTTAATGTCTTAGTGAAGGAGCTCCTTGATTTGCTTTCAATGCCAACTAAATTTGTTTCCGTTTTCTACTTACGTATTCACAAAATGCTCCACTCACGCAGTGCGTTAGCATTTCGTCCTTCAATTTTCTACTTCTATTTTTGTGAATTAATATATTATGTACACATTTTTTCCTTATACCCTACCCATTTATATCTGCTGATATTTATTTTTGTTCTATTTAATATGTATTTATATTTTATGGTCCCCATTCCATTCGCATGAGTTCCAGCTGCTCTGTCTTTTCTATCTCTGCTGCTACTCTTTCTATTGATACTGTTTATACACATATAAAATATTTGTACTTTTCCTATATGCAATTCCCTACTCCATCATTCCCCTTTTCTTTTTATCTATGCTGTATATTTAGCTATAACAAATACCTACCATTATAATTCGTTCTACTCACCTTTAGTTGCTCTGCCGTTTGTGCGGCCAGAAGCTCTCTGCACATGGACTGGTTGCCCGACTCCACAGCCAGCAGCAATGGGATTTTGCCACGCTATAAAGATAGATAGATACTCGTATAGCTTAAATTGGTAACATAATTAGGGCTACACCCACACTCACATACACACACACACACACACACACACACACAACATAAATAACCAATTAGCCAATTGATGCCTCAAGTGTTAACGGCTGCATGTTTTTGCCTATTTTTAGCCAAGTTCGCAACTTTTCGCGCGAACTTTGAACTGGCAAAGGCGCATGAGAGAGTCCCGCTTAACACTTCCTACTCACTCCCTCCCTCAGCCCTTAGACTCGACCCGAACCGTCTCTGCTCACCTGCTCAGCTGGCAAGTAAATCAAGTTGTAGTAGAGCAACTTGTGACCCCCTTTTTCAGTTGTTTTCGGAGCTGCAACCGCCCACCCCTCCCCTTGTGTGTTTGTTGTTGGCAACGAGTTGAGCGCCCTCATCGATGAAGTATAGAGCCTCTCTCTCTCTCCCTCTCCCTCTCTCTCTCTCTCTCTCTCTCTGTCTCTCTGCTATATACATGTATACACAGATATCTGCTATGTAGGAAGCGCAGCCCCGCAAAGACGCGGCAAATGTGCGTGCCGATGTCATTGCTAGTCGAGCTGAAAAACTATTCAACTATTTGTGGAGGTATCGAAATGGGAAATGGAAAGCTGGGAGGTGGTAAGAAGCTATCAGCCTACCTAAATAGTTTATCCAGCTAATTTCGTCTGACAGCGTTATTAACTGTGGGCGAGCGACTGTAGATGCCGACCTGGCCCCGACTCTAATTGATTTAAATCAAGTTGCCGAATCGCAAAAGTCTTTTGTCTAGACCATCAATCGACGCGACTCGGCGATACAATGGAAGAGAGAAGAGGCCCTAGGTAAATTTATGCACTAGTCGCGTCGCGTGCGTTGCCCAAATATCGGACTGAATTTGCACTCATGCACGTGATGCGACAAATAGTTCCGCATTTGAGCTGATGCTCGGCGGGCTCACCTGGCCTCACCTGGCCTCACCTGGTTTGTCGGCTCTTAAGACAGTTCAATGCAAGTTAATCGTTGAACAAGTGAGGGTGTAGCAGGAGTTGGGGATGCCCTAGAGGACTAAAGCATTGACATATGCGTTCTATTATTATTCTCTAGTCACATTTTAGCTTTGGGGGAGTTACTTAAGTAACTTTTGTTGTCAACTGAAAGGCGAATGATAATATTTGAAATTCTTTGAGACTAGATACTATATATTTCTATGTTATGTTAATCATTAAATGTGATTCTTAGGTGAGTAATCGGGCAGCCTAGACAAGGAAACAGAGAAGCTCTCAATTTTTAATACCAGAGAGCTCATACTATATCGAGCTCTACTACATAGTTCATATACTGTATGTAATACAGAAATATATAAAACGTCAATATACCCTGACTGTAATATTTCCATAATCTACAGGGTATTTAAAGTGCTGTGATTATGCCTTTGGGGTTCTTTACTTTGATCTTTTTCGTTCCTCAGTACTTCACTTTGATTCATAGTGTGTTTTCGCTCCGCACTGCATTTGCATTGCTTTGGGCATATTTTGTATATTGATTTTTCGCAATTTCGTTTGCTTTAGATATGGTTGTTGTTATTTTCCATTTGCTTCTGTTTCAATTCTCTTTGTTTTTTCTTAAACTTTTGTTTACGTTGGCACCGCCTGGCACCTGCCTGGCTTTGAGTGTACTTCACTTAATGTCGACTGCCAGCAGCGCATAACTTGGCCAGTTAGAAGCTCTGCACACAACACTTGTGGCTCTTGGCAAACACACACACACACACAGAGAGACTTGTATATATACTTACGCCGTCGGCTTTAACGCGTATATCCTTGCCAGCGGCTGCTAGAAGAGCTCGGAGGATATTTGTGGCCGTGCCCGTTTGACGACTGGACACCAAATGCACCGCAGTTTGTGAACGCGACTGCAAAGAGAAATTAATGGAAGAGTAGTTAATAATCTTATGGGCGCAATAAATATCCGAATAGAAGTGGAAATGTGACGAAACATCGACCGTGCACACCACACTCCACTCTGTATAACTGGCACGCACCTGGGCAACAACACTTAATGATCTGTTTTATGTGTCGCCTAGAAGTAGGCAATAGATATTTTATGCCAACGCCCCCGAGAGTATCCCAAAAAAACCGAAAAAAACTATTCACTTCAAAATCCCAATTGCAACTGAATGGAGGAGCGCTCAGGTTTTTGGTTTATAAGCCCATTTCGTGTCACTTGACTGTATTTTTCTATTCATTTCTCTTTTTTGTTAGCACCGTCTCATATCACAGATTGACAGCCACAGCGCTTTATAAACTTCCTGCTCTCCTCTGACACTGACAGCTCCAACACAATGGAGACCTGGGCGGGGGGCAAGTGTTGGAGTTGGCATTAGCCACGCACACGAGTGGCACCCACTTCAGGCAGAAGTTGGCTGTTGCTAAAACAAAAGTTAACATCTGCTTTGCATGTGTGTGTGTGTGGGAGAGAGAGTGCAGGAGTATGTGTGCGCTATAGTTATCTCCCTCTGCTTAGTGCCTTGCCTCTCTTTCTAAGTGCTCTACTGATAAACATCAGTAATTTGGGCTATAAGGCGCCTTGCCACGCCCCATCATTCACTCATTGCGGCAAAAAACGAAATTAAAATGTTGAAAAATATGCTAAACTTTGGAATGGCTGACTAGCAAATACCCTGCAGAGATCCTGTGACTCTAGAAGTTACAGAATTTAATAAATATGAGAATCGACTCGAACATTGCCCTTAACTCTGGTGTTTAAATATATATTTATTATATCTATAACTATGCACTCTATTCACAAATCTATTCACGTTGCACATACTCCCATCAAGAAGGTAGACGCCCCTTAGACCGGGCTTAACTTAGCATAGAAATTAGATGGTGCTTGGTAACCGCAGTTTGTTTACCTAAGAGCGACTGGCCCTGGCTCTCGACTATTGGCGGTTGGCTGTTAGCTGGCTTTTAAATTAGGGTCCCTGCGGCTCGACATTAGCCAAAGTCTTAACCTTGTCGCCACTAATTGGCCCCTTAGCCCCTAATGTGCCAAAGTCACATGCAACATGCGGCAACATCTTAGGCGCTGACCTTTGCACATTGAAAAAATATGCGTTTAATGGATTTTAAAATGGTAGAAAAAAGGAAAAGAAAAAGAACTTAATAGAGCTCTTAGTAATATATAAAATAAATTATATATTATAGCTGGATATAGATATAGATATAGATATAGATATAGATATAGATATAGATATAGATATAGATATAGATATAGATATAGATATAGATATAGATATAGATATAGATATAGATATAGATATAGATATAGATATAGATATAGATATAGATATAGATATAGATATAGATATAGATATAGATATAGATATAGATATAGATATAGATATAGATATAGATATAGATATAGATATAGATATAGATATAGATATAGATATAGATATAGATATAGATATAGATATAGATATAGATATAGATATAGATATAGATATAGATATAGATATAGATATAGATATAGATATAGATATAGATATAGATATAGATATAGATATAGATATAGATATAGATATAGATATAGATATAGATATAGATATAGATATAGATATAGATATAGATATAGATATAGATATAGATATAGATATAGATATAGATATAGATATAGATATAGATATAGATTCATTTGGGTATACTTACGCCCCCTGTGGAGAAGGGATCTACGCCTCGTTTGTTCAGCAACAGCTTGACGACATCCTCACGCGAATACATCGCCGCAATGTGGAGCACGTTGTAATTATCCTGTAAGACAAATGAAAAAGCAGAGATGATGAGAGAGGGGCATGCGAAGGAGCAGGCAATAGTGGGTGGGTGGGACCTTAAATCAATTGCTAAAAATCATTCGAGTGTGTAAAGTAGCTCGGGCCAGCAGCAGCAGCTGCTTGAATGGGTCAAAGTCAGTCGATTCCCAAAACCTACCCCTAATCTGTTAGCTGCCCCCTGCAGCCGATCCCCGCCCATGCACTTCTGGCGCTTTTCATGGCCTGGCCAAGAGGTGCGGCTGATTGGCTTGGCTTTTGTTTTTGTGGCTCTTGTTCTAGTTGCTGTTGTTGTTGTCGGTTCACCTTGCAACACAATCTTTGCATGTGGACTTTCGCTTTTGGCCATTTCTTAATGGTCGTTAGGTATGTGCCACACATGCAACAACTGCATCAGAGCCAGAGCCAGAGCCAGAACCCAAATTCCGACTTACCTCATGACCCAGCAATGCAAATTGTTTAAAGATAACGACGTAGCCCAAATTGTGATTGCCTCAGCCATTTGGCGACACGTTCCCAGTGACCCAGGCTCGGAACGGAGTTGGAGCACAGGTAGTTACATTACCATATAGCGTCTTATGTAATAAGCCATAACGCAATATGTTACACATACGCCGCATGGCCCAACGGTGGATTTACTTAATTTATAACTTGACCCGTGGACATTTCTTTTACTTATGCTTTTATTTTTGTTGCTTTGCGCCCAGTAAACGGAAGTGAGTCGAGCTTTTTATAGGCTCCCTGCTATATGCATTAGTGGCTTTAATGCGCTGTCATGGGGTGCGCAATGTGGAGCAGTTATATAATTGTATACTTAAGCTGAATTTGTTTTCTTTAGCACCAGCTTGATTTAATATTCAATATATGCAAATTAAGAGTGTATAAATATCTAAGCTAAGCTCACATTCAAATTTATCAAAGGGCAGAAAATATTTATATGCTCAAAAATTTGATATGAAATATGGAAAATTTCTGTTAAGTGAATGGAACTGCAGAGAGGGCGTCATAATTGAATTCTTATTGAAACTTGTAAAAGAGAAGAAATAATATTTTACATATTTACTTTTTAAAATATTTCAAAAGATCTTTTTCTCAGAATTCAAAGAGAAGTCAAACCCGTAGCTCTCTTTTGGCATTCTCTTATCTGCCAGGCGTATACGTAATTCATGTCATGTCTCAGCTTTAGCACCTATTGCCGTTCGTTGCCTTTGCTAATTTACATAGAACGCTGGTCGGACATAGGCGAAAAACCGCAAGTCGAAGTCTTTGACACATGTCCCGGTTGAAAGACATTGGGTACAGCCCAGTTTTAGCCAGGCTAGTGGGGCTTGTGGGGCTCCGTAGCTCGTAAAGTCGGGCAAGTGTCCAAACAGTGGCCTGCAAAAGTTAACGTCAGACAGATAATATTTCACGCGCCTGTTTTGCATAGTTTTTTAACTCCAAATAAGTCGAGTCAAGTGTGCAGGGGTGTATGTGTGAGTGTGTGTGTGTGTTGTTATTGTTTTTTTGTGCCGTGGCGGAACGAAAGCAAAAACCGGAAATACAACAAAAACGGAAGCGCAAATTTTCCAGCACATTTTTGCGGCTTGCTTTGGGAAGCTCTTGGAGCGCGAGTTGAGCAAGAGGGGTGGAAGAGCAGTTTGCCTGTAAGACGACCCAGTTTCGGTTTGTTTGTAAACCTTGCGGCGAGCAACAAAGTATGCTACAATGTCTTAAGCCCAATATGAAGTCATTTACACACACTTGCACACACACTCGCACACACTGGCAGAGAAGACACTTAAAAGAATGAAATTATAAAATGAAAAAATACTAAATTATATTGCTGGCTGATGTCAGCTCAGTTGGCTTTGCCCACTATTTTTTTTGGTGACTCTGCAAGCATTTAATTAAATTAATTAATTTTGACTTAATACGAGTGCCACACTCACACTCACACACACAGAGAGATGTGCGTGTGCTCACGCACAACATTTGACAAATTGAGTCTGAGCCCAGTTAATGGCTTAATGTAAAAATTGCACGCTGTCATCGCGCATGTGGCTTAAATACCCCGAAATGCTACAAGCAAATAAATACCAAAATGCCCCCAAGTCGGTTTTAATTAAAATTTCATAAATAGATGTGTATGTATGAGTGTGTGTGTGAGTGTGTGTGATGCCATGAATAGCCTCAACGCTCCTTTATTTCAATTCATTGCTTTTTTGGCCATTTGTCTTGGCTAAAAGGTCAGCGCCGAAAAGCTGACTGCTATGGAACTGGGAGGCGTGGCATCAGGGGGCAGCTGCCAACGGGGCGTATTCAAAAAGTCTGGCGGCTTGATTAATTGGCTTTTAAGTTGCAACAAATAAAGTTGGGTACGCCTCCTGCCTCAAGCCTCGACTCCATTTAGCTGCAGCCATGACAAAGCGAGTCCGAGTGCTCTGCTCTCTTCTCCGCCACTCGCCCCCTCCGCCTCCTGCTAAACACCCTCATTTGACAGCCTCAAAATATTAATTAGCTCCACTCGTTACATCATTTCACTTCACCTCTCTTCACTGGCCTCTCTTCACACACGTGTGTGGAGCAGGTGTCGTGTTGACTGCGAATTACTTTAGAGTTGTCCGACTTTTAGATAAGCCATTAAATGACATAATGCAAAACACGCTTCATCACACGTGAAGTGAATTGTGCTTTTTTGCTTTTCTTTTCATATTAAGTTTTTGCATTCCCTTTTTAATTCATTAGCAAAATAGCAGCTCTAATTAAAAGTAGCCCCACTCTTTGACATTTTGACCAGCTGCCCCGTTGCATGAGTTCATCAAGATTTCTGTTTGTTAAAGCGAAAGATGACGCATCTTATATGTGTGGTAGGTAAATTTAATTTGAATTACGACTGGCCTGACATTTAACTAGTCATAAGCTACTGAGATCTGGTTGAGGCAACTCTGAGATAACATCGTTATTACGTGGGCGACAAGCAAAAGTCACACTAGTTTCGGTTTCTTAGGAATGAGCGGGGTATGCGCCGAGTTTTATACTATATACATATACGAAGTCTAGATTTTGAAATGGCCTAAAGAGAGGTATCTATGTCATAAGTTAGATAAAATGAGACTAGGAGCTCAAGTACTCTGTGTGTAAACTAGCTTGGCCAAGTGTCTAGGTGCTAAGCTTAAAGATCTGCAAGCCGCTAATCCTTCATATACCGGTAATACCATATTGGCTCTGGCGACTCATATAAAAAGTGACTATGGAGTTGCCGTTTTCTGTTTTAAACTTAACTACAAACTCCGAAAGGAATTTCAGAATAAATAAAACTTGATTTTATACTAAAAGAAAAAAGGAGTCGACTAAGCCTCAAGATTTCATTTCTAGCTCGCAAGTCCAATAAAATTTTACATATGCAAACAGAAATTTGCATATATTAGAAACTATAATATACTCGTGTATATTATTAGTACATTTTCGGTCACAGTTGTATTATTATTATTCAGAGAACTGCAATTAACCTTTAACATTTCACACCAGCCTAACAAGCCGAGCTGGGAAATTTCTTCTTAAAAGTGGGTTTTTTATGTGAGTCTGCAGCCAAATCCGAGTTTTCTATGTTTGTTTTGGTAATTTAATTCGGCGACTTTGGTTTGCCAACAATTATTTTGTAATTAGGTCAAGGATTTTCATCGGCTCTGCGGCGAAAATCTGGTACGTGTGTGCCCCATGAACAATTGGCCAAAGTAATTGCGGCATGCAAACATAATGCCAAAAGCCCAATGTCCAATGCCCAATTGGCCAGTTAAGTGGTACAAATGCTAAATAAACTGAAATTGCTCACTTCATATTTTGATATAGAGCTCCATTTGGGTTTTTTCCTGGAGATAAGAGATGGGAGAAGGTACTACTATATGTTGTTATAATACTCATTCCGGGCGTTTTACACCACTGAAGTAAATTATAAAGTTTAATAAGAAATGTTATGAATTGGGAATGTTTTAGTATTATTATATTATATTAAGCTGGAAACTTCTCTATATCTTCATTTTACTCTCATGACAATTTTAAACTATTTCTTGATAAATTGTAAATAAATATTTTAATATATAATAGCAATAGGGCACTCAGACTGCCTGGATAATTTATAGGTATTATAAATACTCTATTTCTTACAGATTTGTATCATAATTCTGTATCATATCATAGTCATAGTCAATTTTCCACTCAATCATTTCAAGCTGAAAATAGATTCGCAGTTTTTGTGGCGGCGCCTCAAAGTATGCAGCATAAAGTCAGTGAATTAGAAATCAGAGAGTATGAATCGTCGCCATGGCCCCTCCTCCCGCTGCGCTGATGCCCCACGTGAGACCGTATTCCTCGGCGCCTGTGCGTGTCGCCAGAGCTAGAAACAATTGTTGGCCAAGCTCAGTTCGGTTGACCCACAGCGACGCTTATGTGCTTAAGTGGCAGTTGAGCGGCCCGCCGGCGCTCTGGCCGGCAGTGCGTGAGCGGGAGGTGCGTGGACCGCAGCCCCTGGTGCGCCTCTGTGCGTTCACCTCGGCTCATGGGCAACCCCTCTGGCAGTTACGCCCCCGCATGAGATTTAATTATGCGGTTTTTATCGATTTGACACAATTCCAGAATCGGCTTGTTTTGCTTCTTGCTTCTGAATGGCCATATCTTGGTAATTTAAGCTCAAGCAGTCAACACTTGATACTCACGTTATTCCGTGCTCCCACATCGGCGCCCAGTTCAATCATGCGATCCATTATCGCCGTCCTGTTATCCTTTGTGGCATACATCAATGGAGTCATGCCGGTATTCTGAAACCACAAAAAAATGTAGGAAATATATTATTGAAATGAAATCTTTACAGTTGGGTGTGCAAATGCATATTAGGAATCAAATTGTAAAGGCAAATTTTAATGTTTTTAATATATATTATTTTCGTCAATTTTCTTTTACTACTCAAAAATTAAACATTTCTCAAGTTACTCCTAAAATATAATAAAGTCAGCTGCATAGACAAATATATTAATTTAATTAAATCATAATAATATGTCAATAAAGCAAAACTGAAATTCAAATTGAATAGTTAAATATTTTAAATTAATTTAAATTTACCAAATTAAATAGTATCACATATTATTATCTCTTTAAATATTTCCTAGTTTCTTTTTGTTTATTTCTTTTTATTTTATTTTTTTATTTTTTGTCATTTTTTATTTAATTGGTTATTTTTACACTTTCTACTCTACTCTCAAGGAAATGTATATGGAACCCACATAAATAAAATTTGAGAATTTATGGCCATATTATTTATATACTATAAACGAATTTATACAAGAATATTTCCATGATTCATGTTGCCACGTTCAAATCTCTTATCATGTTTGCTGAACACTGAAACTTTTAGTATAATCCGCAATGTCATCATAATTATAAAGAATACATACTTATATAGTATATGTATGTACTCACTCTCAGCTTTTGCTTGTTACACTCTCATCGCTGATAAGACCTAATTTTCACCTCATTTGGTTTTTGCTTTTGTTTTTTGCGTAATTTTCATAATTAAAACAAAATCAAGTCCAAAATAATAATAATAACTATTTCCTAATCCTGTCTGGCAGCCAAAAATACACCAAAAATAGTTGCCAAATAAACGAAATTGGAACAAAAAATAAGTAAGGGCTGTGCGACTAGAATATACCCTTTATTAGCCTTGATTTATTTCTTTTTGTGTATTTATTAATCAGTAAGAAAAAATTTATGTTATTGAAGTGAGTTTACTGAGCTGTTAGCCTAACTGCAATGGGTTCTTTGAATAGTTTGATCTATAACAAAATTGGCCTGCTGGCTGTGCATACCTCTATATACAATTATTATCTACAGGGTGTCATTGGCTGTTGTCTAGCTAAACTTCTCTCTATATATATGTTAATGATGCCTTTCGCACAGTGAAATAATTTACATGGGAGGCAACCCTTTTGCTTTACCCCCGCTCAGCTCAGCTCAGACTCGACTCGTTGTTGTTGCTTCCCATTATTTCAGTCTACATTCCAATCGGGCATTTGCATTCAGACTTCTATTATATTCTATTCTGTGGCCCTGCCTGCTGCTTGCATTTTATTGTCAGTTTTGTTGGGTCGTTTGGGGTGCTGTCGGCCTTAAGACTTGCAACGTTAATTTTATGTCAACGACTTTTGCGTTTGATATTTTTATGGTAAATTGAAATCGAAGCGCTTCAATTTCGATGCTTTATGAGTTTATTCGGGGTAGTCAGCGCAACTTGTGGCAGGACGTAGCCTGCGAGCCCGCCATCGCCTTGGCAGCCAAACATTTGGGCCGCGCTATCAAATAACACACAGCAACACACACAAACACACACACACTTATTTACATTTAGCTACTGTGTCGTTATTTTGGCTAGTAAACAACCAACAACAACTGAAATCCCGCCGTCGAGCCGCAGTTGGGGACGTTGATAAGGGCGACGTCGACTTTCGATGGGCTCCAAAATTGATTTTACAAAGTCCTGTACCCACTCACTAAGTCTCTCACTCACTCCCTCTCTTGCTCTCTCTCTCTCTCTCTCTCACTCTTTTGCTGTCTTACCATATCGTGCACTCCGGCCAGCGGTATGTGATTGCCATCTTCGCCCGCATTGGCCACATATTTCTCCAGTTTCTTGAGCTCCGCTTCGATGGGCGTCCACTCGCTCTTCATGGCCAGCGCCAGCACCTTGTTGGCCGTGTCCCGTATCGAGGCACCCGCACTGGGCGGCTTGGGCGCCGGGAACATATCCAAATCCTTTTTGTCGCCATTGCTGGAGCTGTCATCCTTGGGATCCGAGTCGGCCTTGCTGGCGGGCGTTGCACGTTCGCTGGTATTGGCCGAATCGTCGGGCGGCCCCGTCAACGAGGAGGGCGTCTTGCGGCCAACGCCGGCGCCACCAGCGCCGCCGCCGCCACGCGCGCCCCGTCCGCCTCGAGGCTGCGACATTCCACTTGGCTTGGCTCAGACGCTCAACGCTCAACGCTTAAACGCTTAAAGCTCTGCCTCTCGACCACTGGCCATTACACAACCAGGCACAAAGGAGGCGAGACTGCAGCTTATTGTTGCTTACTGCAGGAATTGTTTATGCTGTTCGCTGTCTCGCTCTAGCGTGTACGTTGCATAGCTTGTGGCCTGCGCTGGCATTGCACAATTGTATTATTTGTTGTTTTACCAATATTTGTTGCCAACAATTTGCATTTTCATTGGCAACACACAAGCACACACACACACACACACACACACACAGACACTCAGACACGGCTCTGGTTGCTTTTGCACGGCGCCCACTTTTCGTATGTTTCCTTACAGCAACAACAACAACAACAACACATCCGCTTTACTATTATTATTGCTTTGGGTTTCTTTTTCGGCTGCTTTCTTCGCTTTCTTCACTTTTACTACACAATTTTATATGTTTAGCCTTATTTTTATGGCTCCTTTTCTGGTTGCGTGTGCGTCTCACTTTAGCGCCGTCGCCGTTGCCGTCGCCGTTGCCGTTGGCCGTCTTTGTTGGCCAAGTGTGTTTTGACTGCGAGTGCAAAATGTGGTAACAACCGTCTGCCACGAGCTTCTGCGAGTTTCTGATTTGCCAGTCGAAATTCCTTTTGCCACTTGACGTGGCAAGCCCCATTGTTGCGCACCTTGGCAACATGACGAAGCCGCTCACTGCAGCCGTCTGTGGGCTGCTCTGCGGCGCAGGCGTTTGTTTACAATTGTTGATTCCCCGAGTGCCCGACACCGTTTTTGGCGCGAAAATCTCTGTGAAGCGAACTCTCAGCCTTCGTCAAGTTCAGACTCCTCCAGATATCCCAAATCGAATATATACGTAAAAAGAGAGAACTTTTACACAATTACATAAAGCACATTTCTCTAAGGCTATCAAATTCCACACAGTTATCAAAATTTTTTCAAGTGAAACCAAAAAAAACAAAAACAAAAAAAAACAAAAAATGAAAAATGCTGCTACACGTAATACCAGGAGCTCAACGCGATCGCTTGATTCGCGGTCCCGAAGAGAATTGGCGCGCTCGTCATCGTCGCGAAAACCCAAAGCGACTCAGCGGACCAGCTTCATTCGAGCCAGTGAAGATGATGCTCAATTTGTGCCGCCAAGCAAATGTCAATGCGAATCATGTCAGCTGCGCACTCCGAGCGCCGCGTATCAGCTGGAGCGAGATCGCATTGTTGCAAGCCGGTTCAATGTGCTGAAGGAGATCGATCAGAGTATCGACGATATGATCAGCGATCTGGAGCAACTGGTCATGTTCCAGTCGATTTCGGTGGAGCCGGAGAAGCTCTTGGAAAGCTGCAGGGCTCTCGATTGGATGGCGAATCGATTGACCGATCTGAAGTTTAAGACCTATGACTATCCCATAGCCGATAATCCGAGCAACTGTTTTGTGGATCCGCATCAGAAGGTGCTCTTCGCCAAATACTTCTCCTCGCCCAGCAAGAACACGCTGCTGATCTACGGGCACTTGGATGTGCTGCCCGTTCAGATCGATTGCTGGATAAGCGATCCCTTCAAGCTGATAGCCAAGGATAATTTACTCTACGGCCGGGGCGTTACGTCCGGCAAAGGCATGATTGTGGGCTGGCTGCAGGCCATCGAGTGCTGGCTCAAGGTGCATAACGATCTGCCCATCAACATCAAATTCATTGTGGACATGCTGCACGAGGTGGGCAGCACCGGCCTGCAGGCCCACATCACGGCGAGAAGCGACTTCTTTGCGGACGTGGACTTCGTGGTGTTTGATGTGAATTCGTGGGTGAACAATATCAATCCCATCGTACCCTGCAGCCTCACCGGCTGGGCTCACTTTGGCGTGGAGGTGCGCGGCGCCAACAAGAATCTAGAGAGCGGTCTGGCCAGTGGCCTCGTCTACGAGCCAATGATTGATCTGTGCCATCTAATGAATGGGCTGGTCAACGACGAGCATGAAATCCAAATACCCGGCATCGAAATCAATATGAAGCGCCTAAGCACGGCCGAATGGCATCTACTCGAATCAGCCGTGTTTCGGACCTATGAGTATCGGGAGGATCTATTCGTGCGCCGGCTCAGGTTTGAGGATAACAAGGTTGAGTTTCTACAGAATCGTTGGTGCAAGCCCACGCTGACCATGCACGGGGTCGAGGGCGCCGACAGCCATCCGGGCTGTCGTCGCATTCTGCCGATGAAAGTGATGGGCAAATTCTCCATCAAACTGGTGCCCGACCAGGAGGTTAAACACGTATTCAACCTCGTCAAGGATCATATGCGGTTTCTGAAAGTCGAGCTGAATGTGAGCACCCAGCTCAATGTGAATTTGCTGAATGGCATAGAACCGCTTTCTTGGACCATGGACTCGAAACTAATCAAGGCCGTCTGTCGCGCCGTAGAATCTGTCTATGAAAAGGACGTGATTACCACGCACGCCATACCCATCTGTCTGCCCATCGCCAATGTGCTGCAAAAACTGGTCAACAAGCCGATCATCCTGCTGCCCTACTCAAAGCGCATAGATAAGCACCACCATGAGAACGAGAGCATTGAGAGCTTAAACGTCTCGCGGCACACCAAAACCTGTGCCGCGCTCTTCGCTGAGCTGTCGACGCTGCGCCCCAAGTGCAAGTGCAATGTGCTCTACCAATACTGCACTTTGCGTGGTGTTCAGGAGATTTTGGATGCCGAGCGTAACGTGGATTTAAATAAAGTTGCCGTCGAGAAAAAATGGTATCAATTCACGCAAAAAGCTGCCTCGAGCGATGATCACCCCACACGGTCCAGAGCCAGATCCACCACATATACCTTGAAGAAATATTTACTATTGCCCTTCAGATGCAAGAGAAAGATTAAGAGGAGACATACCCAATCGACTTGAATCGATATGTACCTTATATATGTACCTACTGTATGTTAAAAAGTCCAAATATCGAGTATTGTTTTCTCAATGCTTGATTAATATTTATTTAGATCTATGCTAAAACGTGAAGTGTCTCGAGTAAATGTGAAACAGGCATTGAGTTAATTATACTATAACAAAATCTTATGTAGTTTTTGATGAACATCGATCAGATCACTTATATATGTTATCTGATCCAGGTGGCTCCGTTTGATCTGTTCGTAATTTGGAAAAGTTCTTGAGCTCTAATTTGATTTAGATTTGATTCAGATTTCATTCAGTTAAAAATCAAAATTTCTATACATTTTGGCGATATTTAGGAAATTGTTATAGAAGATAGTAAAATGATTTGTTGGGGCGAACAGAACTGCTGCGGCGTATTTCTCGATCGTGACAAGAACGATCGTTGCAATTGCTTGCGTGATTTCTGCATCCGGGACTATGCTCCAGAAGATCGGATAACAGTGTCGGAGAAAGATTTGGATAAGGCGATTAACGCCTTGTATGACAAACAAGATTTCAATATGGTCTATACGAGCGAAATAATCGCGATTAAGAGCATATTGAGCAATCCGAAGTACGTGAATGAAACTAAACAGCTCATCGATCGACTCTCCCAGCGCCTCACCGAGCTCGAGTTCGACGTGGAGGTGGTAACAGTGCAGCCACATGGTAATGCGAAGACGCCGCATTATGTGATCTTTGCCAATTATTTCTCGACGCCCGCCAAGAACGTGGTGCTTGTCTACGGCCGCGTGACCGTGAAGGATGTGAAAAAGCGCGATTGGACGCACTACCCTTTTCAGCTGACCCAAACGAATCAGGATCTCTTTGGCAATGGCTTGACTTCCACAAAGGGTCCCGTGCTCTGTTGGATATTTGCCGCTCAGGCATGGCTCGACGCAATGCACGATCTGCCGGTCAACTTGAGATTCATTATCGATACCTTTGACACCGATTACAACCAGATGCTGCGAAAGGTGATTGACGATCGTAAAGTTTTCTTCAAGGGCGTGGATCTGTTGATAACTACCACCAATCTGTGGATAACATCAACAACCCCGCTGCTAACCACCAGCCACAGCGGCTACATTTACTTTGAGCTGGAGGTGAAAGAGAATGCCAAGAAGGAATGCCCAGAGGAACCCGAGCTAGCGGAGAGCTCAAAGAAACCAACACGACAGCCCATGGCTGAGATGTGCCTGTTGATGAACACTCTCACGGATCCAACGAGCAAATTAATGATAGATCTGAACCGTCATGTGCTGCCCGTAACACACCGCGATTGGGACATACTTTCCAAGGCTGAGATGGGCATCATGGAATTCAAGAACCAGTACGACGTCAAGCGACTACTCCACGAGGAATCGCAGGCATCGTTCCTCAAGCACCGTTGGTGCATGCCGGACCTGAGCATGCACAAGGTGGAGTACCGATCCTACGCCGGAATGCGCGAGTTTTATACACCATCCCGCGTTGTGTCCAAGTTCTCCGTCAAGCTGGTGCCCGATCAGAGTCTCGATTACGTCACTTTCTTGGTCAGAGACCATTTGGAGGATGCCTACAAGCGACTCAAGTGCGAGCATCCCGCATATCTACGGATCACGGACTCCCTTAAGCCCATAAACGAGGCCAGGCATGCGCCCTTCAATCTGTCAGCCAAGCGAGCGTACGAGCGCATTTTCGCGGTCGAGGCTGCCATCCCCGATACCATGTGCACCTGCATACCCATGCTGAACGAGCTGCGCAAGTACTGCATGAGCAACGCCCAGGTGATGGGCATGCCCTTCTGCTCCGTCCACATGCAGGGCGGTCAGATAAACGAGGGCTTCACTCGCGAGCATTTCTTCAAGAATCTGGAACTGTTTGTCACAATGCTGTTCGAAGTGGCGCTCGTGCCACCTGAGTGCAAATGCACCGAAATCAAGGACTTCTGCTTCGAGAATGGCAAGACGGTGTATCGCGACTTCATACGCATGATGCACCCGCGAGAACGTCAAGTTTCGGACGTCCTCTTTGAGCTGGACGAGGCTGAGATCGATAAGGCGCCAGGCCACCGAAGAGACTATCCGTCCATAACAGAAATGCTATTGGGCAAAAGGAGCGCACAAGCGGCAAAACGCTAAAGGATCCCATGCTTGGCGCATTCATTCACTTATCAAGTTGTTCATAATCCAATCGTTCCATGTGAGAGTAGTCTACAGTACAGTATAGTATTTCGCTGTTCAAGTCGACAGCGCCCAACACAGAAACCAATAAAACTTGTTCAATTATGATGCTAATGCCCCCGACAAAAAAGAAATTAATTGATAAGAATTTCTTAGATTGCTAGCTTAACAAACCTTTAAGCACGAACGAAAACTATACTTGTTTATGTACAAATTAGTGTAACATTGCCAACTGTCATATACTCTGTTTCTTTATTCGAAAGATATTCCAATTTAATTTCCACTTGGAATATTGTCTATATTCTTAAAAGTTACTAACCAAACTTCAGAATTAGTCTATGTATATTCCGCTGTCATTCCATAGTCCCAAACCAGTTCTCTAAAAAAGTGAGATAAAAGCTACGTTAAATCAATATACCTCAATATATTCTAAACACAGCGCACTGCCAAGCAGTCTAAATATATATTTTTTGGAAATATTCCAAATAGCCAGACGGCGAACAGCCACAGGCCAACAATAATATATAAGTATGTGTTAACTTGATGTGATAAGACGTATAAAAAGTTTAATATTTTGATTAGCATATCAGCAGAGGAGGTACGGAATATTGTAGATAATAGGTAAAGAGCCACGCGACATTAGGCTACGAATTTGAGATACGGTAGATGTATGTACATATGGATACGATATGAGATACGGTAGCAGAAGCAAAGTAAATAAACAAACATTTAAGTAAAGTAAATAAGTATTTAAAATAAATAAATAAACTATATATGGATATACATATAGGGAATAACGTTTTACTATCTGACTATAAGTAATTTCACAAACTATTGTATGAATACTTTCATCACTTAGGTATATACATACATATGCATGTTCATATGTACATGTATACATAAATAAATGTGTAAATACACATTCATACATACATTTACATATGTATGTATATAAACATGTATACAAAGGTACATAAGTAGTTCATATTAAGTACATACATACATACAGACATGTACATACATCCATACATATGTACCTACCTAGATCAGTAGACGCCCCGCTAATTGATTTCAATTTCCTATCATTTTCTACATACTGTACTAATAGACCATTTTTATTCAATTTGCAAGCACCAATCTGCTGTTTTATCAAATTTTATTAGAATGTTCATGCATACACATACATACATTCCTACATATGTATGCATCCACATACACAAGTACTACACTGAAAGCTAAGCAATTCAAACATAATAAATTAAGGTACCTAAAAAGAAATGCAAGAACTAAAGCTGAGCAAAAGCAGAGCAAAACCAGTTCCCATAGATTCACACACAATAAAAGCATCACATCAATGCGAGCAAAAAAGCTTTTTCAATTCAAAAGCACAAAACGCAAAACAAAAATGCACGACGCAAATGCCGGCATAAAGAACGTAACGCAAACACACATAAAAATACAAACAAAAATGAAACAAATAACGCGACACGTGTCGAGCGAAGAATGTGAGAAAGAAAACAGAAAAGTTGATAAGAAGGAGAGCAAAACAAAACACGGTAATATTGGCATTGATCTGCCAACGAAAACTAATGTGAATATGAAAATATGTAAAAATAGTAGCAATCAATGAGAAAATGATGCGTGAGCCGACTCTTAAATACCCTCTGTCCATCGCTAATACAAATATAAAAATGTTGCTTGACAAAATATAAATTTAAACTTCTGTTAAGAAGCAAAAAATAATCGAAATACTTAAGTTACTTATATATACGCATATTATATATATACTTATATTTCATTGCATATACATATCTGCATATAATTATTTTAAATTATCATTAATAAAGTTTTAGAACATTTTCGAATAATACCCCATTTCTATGCCCACTCTTTATGGCTTTTCTTATAGTTAAATGTCGCCCCATGATCTATTGCACCTACTCAACCCTAATATACCCCTCGAGTCCTAAGTTTGCTTTACACTATTTAATCGCATTTATAAAATCATTGTGTTCTGCATCCCCTCACACTCACACTCACCGCACTCTCTATCTATCACTCTCTCTCTCTCTCTCTCTCTCTATCTGCCCGTCTGCCGTTCTCTCATTCTCTCTATAAGTTCAGCAAGGCAATGTTGATTTCAATAAGCTAGCTCTGCGCTTCCCCAGTTCGCGGTTGTACGCGGCGAATAGTGGACGTGTTTGTCCGAAATAGTAGCAAGTTTTACCAAAGTTCGAAAAAGACTGCGCAAATTGCTCACGCAAACTTACTCTTGAAAAGTTATGAAAAGTGATCTTATTGTTGTTTGAGTGTGTTAGTTTCGTTCAGTGTATAATATGCTCAACAAAAAGCTACAAATCGTCGCCAGACATGTACTCAGGCAGAGCTTGGGCCACAAGGCGCTGCGCTGGTAAGTGAGTCCTTCTTAGCGGAGACATAAACCCACCCACACACACACATATATATATATATATATTTAAATCAATGTCAAGTAGCCAGGACCTCAGCTTTTGTAAAGGATTACCTCAACTGAACATATGCTCGTAGTTGGTTCGATTGGATTATCTTGAAAATGCTTGAGTTCGGGGTTGTTCCTCTCCACGTCAGCTTCTCTGTATTGCCAGAGAAATTACGTAATATTCCAAAGAAACCATATACCAAATGCTACCCGACTTTAACAAGCTGTGCAGAGCATCTGATTGAATTTAGTACATGTATTAAGTGTCTAACAAATATAAATGTGTGTATTCATGAAACTACGCAAAACCGTTGGAAGCACCTGTTGCTGTGGAACATTTCCGTTAACAGCTGAGAACATTTAGAACAGATATAAACCACTTGATACCAGAAAGCACACTTACTTTATTTATTTTTACTTATTATTATATATATATAATATATATATATAAACAAATACGCAATTATCGTGATAAGCAGCAATGGCATGTAACTGTTAATATGCTCTTATATATGTATGTGCATATGTTTACATACGTACGTACATACATATTTACATGCTTATATGCGTGCACACACACATGCATATATGCGACGCTCTCCAAGCTAAGCCAAACAAAAACAATAGACGAAACATTGAAGAGCAGTTACTGTAAACAGAGCGCCATAAAATACTTGCCATAAACTATTTTTAGCTTTAGCTTTTGAATAGCTTTTTCTTAGCTTGAGAACTGAATATATCAAAGACACACAACCCCTTCGCAGCAGAGACACAAACCACGGCAAACATGTTAACATATTTCAGTGTATAATTATTATTGAACTACATGTGCTATAAAAATACCCTATAAAAGCTGATATAGGTAAGATAATTCATAAAAGCGCACAAATTATATCCCTATTTTATGATTAACTAATTAACTTCTACATGCCCAGAAAAACAGAAAACTCGTAAACTTTATCGCAAAGTATTATGGGGGTTATATAATAACAAAACGTTTTTACAGACAAGCCCCATTTTGATCACTATAGAAAAATATTGTCATATCATGCGAAGGTTAGACAAGGTTAGACGATGGTTTTTGATGTGGATTCATATATAATATTTATTTAGAGACTCTTATATTAGATTGGAAAACTTCCAATCAGTTAAAATACATACATTGTATGTATTATTATTATTATATCTCTCGACCTTTCCATTGCAGGCTCTCCACATCGAGCCCCGCCCACAGCAGCTACTTACATCACATAGGCAAGGAGCCGCTTGCCTATCGCAATGTCGGTCAACAGCTCGAGCTGGCCGCCTCGCAGTTTGGTAGCACGGAGGCGCTGGTGTCATGTCACGAGGACAAGCGATATACGTACCGCAGCCTGATAGCCGAGGTGGATCGGCTGGCAGCATCATTGCGAAAGCTGGGCCTAAACAAAGGCGATGCCGTGGGCATCTGGGCGCCCAACTATGTACAATGGTATCTGGGCATGATAGGTGCAGCGCGGGCAGGCCTCATCTCGGTGGGCATTAATCCTGCCTACCAGGCTCCCGAAGTTTCATACTGCCTGAACAAAGTGGACATCAAGGCCATTATAGCGCCCGAGACATTCAGGACGCAAAATTACTATGAGATCTTGCGCAGCATCTGCCCGGAGCTGGCCGACTCGGAGCCGGGCAAGATCAGAAGCGAGAAATTCCCACATCTGCGCGCGGTTATTATTAATAGCACACAGAGCCTGAAGGGCGCGCTGCGCTTCGACGATGTGCTAGGCTTCAGCAATGCCGATGAGCAGGCGGAGATTAGCAAACTGCAACGCCATATCCTTCCCGAAAGTCCATGCAATGTGCAGTTCACATCCGGCACTACCGGCAATCCCAAGGCGGCGGTGCTCTCGCACCACAACTTCGTCAACAATGGCATCCACGTGGGCAAGCGCAACGAGATAGCCGGCGAACGAATCTGTGTTCAGGTGCCACTGTTCCATGCCTTTGGCGTAGTCATCACCATCATGGCGTCCATGGCCACGGGTGCCACTATAGTCCTGCCAGCAGCCGGCTTCAGTCCCGAGGACTCGTTGAAGGCGATCATCAAGGAGAAGTGCACTGTGATACACGGCACACCCACAATGTACGTGGATCTGGTTGCTATGCAGCGAAAGCTGCAGATGCCACTGGGCAAGATTAAGAAGGCGATCACAGGCGGTGCCACCGTCTCGCCGCAACTCATCCTGGATGTGAAGAGCGTCCTGGGCGTGGAGGCCATGCACAGTGTCTACGGCCTGACCGAGTCAACGGCTGTCATCTTCCAGTCGCAGCCCGGCGAGGAGGGCAATCGAGTGCTCGACTATGTGGGCCATCTCACTGACCACGTGGAGGCCAAGGTCATCGATGAGCAGGGCTGCCTGGTGCCCCTGGGCCAGCCGGGCGAGCTGTGCGTACGCGGCTACCTAACCATGCTGGGCTATCACGGCGACGAGGCGAAAACAAAGGAAATACTCGGAGCCGA